CTGACTTATTTGAAAACAAGGTATTACAAAACCTAGGACTCAAAGCAGCTGACTTTTCTAGACCACCAGAAGTGTAACCAGAAGAAAAGCAAGAAGGTATGTGCAATTGGTATAGACCAACCTTAAGTCCTCCCTGCAGTAACACTGCCTTGGTAGCCTTGTCCTTGACAACACAATAATCAGAGTCAAATTCTACAATTACTTGATTATCTTCAGTGAACCTAGAAATACTAAGAAGATTTTTAGTTATTCTAGGAACACATAACACATTGCACAAATGTAAACACGTGGAATCAAATGAACTAGGAAATAAAGTCGAACCTATATGAGATATATGTAAAGACTCACCGCTGCCAACTTGTAGTTGTTCAAACCCATCATAATTTCTGCTAGAAGTCAGTTGAGTAGGATCAAGGGTAACATGGTCAGCAGCTCATGAATCCATGTACCAAGCTGGATCAACTAAGGCAGTTGCTAGGATATTCATATGTGTTTGAGGGTAATGATTCGAAGGAGGTGTATGATTAGACACAAGGAAGGCTTGGTTGGGAGTTGAATTTTGGTATGGGCCTTGCTGACTAGGGACATGAAACCCTTGCTGTTAATGAAGGAAATGAGGCCTTTCTTGTAGATTAGTGTGCTATTGTTGATATTGCAAGTTAGAACTTGTAGCTAACTGAGATGATGAATCATAGGATCCATTTGAAGGAACAATAACATGCTGACTTCCAGATTGAGAACCATAAGAACTGCCAGTATTGAAACTTTGCTGATTTCTAGATTGAGGTCCATAAGATCCACTGTGGAATCCTAGATTTGGACGATGTATATAGTTGAAGGAACCAGGGCCAACTTGTCTTGACATGCTACCTTGAGGAGGTACACCATTGTAAGTAGTTATAACGGTGATAACAGTGGGCTACTGTGTGGCCAATTTTACTGCAAACTTGACAAATAGGCTTGCCTCTCCTAGAGCCAACTTGTCCTGACATGCTACCTTGAGGAGGTACACCGTTGTAAGTAGAGTTATAACGATGATAATAGTGGGCTACTGCGTGGCCAATTTTACTGCAAACTTGACAAATAGGCTTACCTCTACCATTGCTTCTTCCTCTGCCTCTCCCAAAAATAGGTCTATATGAAGAGTAATAGTGGCCTGAAGTTCCACCAAATTGTCCAAATTGCAATCTAGGATCAATAGAACTAAACTAAATTCCTTGAGAAGCAGAACAACTAGAGGATAACGGATAATTCTGAGATCATATGGGAGGATTAGGTAGGCTTTGCAGTTGGGACTGATCATGTGTAACCAGACCAGAGGTGCCATTAGGTGCAGAAGAAATCTTAGTGTTAACTGGCAACAAATTTTGACCACTTGAATTCCCACTTGAATTCCAAGGGAAGCAACAGTAACAAAACCTCCATGAAAATCTATAGAATTAAACCTATCAAGCCGCAACTCATATTTTTGTAACAAAAACTAAGCCTCCTGCAAAGTAATTGGATCAATCTTAGATTCTACCCTGGAGGTTAGATTGACAAAAACAACGTCAAATTTTGGACCTACACCATCTAAAATGTGTTGAAGAAGATCTTCATCTGAGATTACTTGACCATTCGCAGACAAGCTTTCAGCAATGCCTTTCATCTTCTTTACATACTCATGAATACTTAGATTACCTTTCTGAGTTATTTGAAGCAAATTCTTCAAGTGTAAGGCCTTGGCCTTTGACTCAATTACAAACTCAGCTTCAAGTTTAAACCATACTTTAGAAGCAAACTGAAATTTTGAGACAAGAATGAACATGCGCTCACAAATTGAGGATAGAAGCCAAGTAATAAAGAACTTGTCAATTCGTTTCCAGGTTACATAAGCTGGATTCAGCTTTTCTTTGGCTAGGGTTTCAAATGAATTACTATCACTCAACTCAGTTGAACAAGAAACAGAAGTAATAAAAGGAGCTGGACAGGGAATTAAACCTGTCAGATGTTTTTCGAGTTCGTGTGCTCCCACAGCAAAAAGAACTTGTGATCGCCAGAATCGGTAATTGTCAGTGTAACTATCTCTAATGAGTTTGGGAGTGACAACCTGGAGACTTGACGAAAAAATCGAGAGTTAAGGACTAGCTGGATTGTTCTGCATTTTCTCCATTGAAGCTGAGGAAGAAATCAATTGTTAAGATCGTTGCCGCCGCCGCTTGTAACTAGCTTTGATACCATGTGAAGCTAAAAAATAGAGACTGAAAGAGTTCTGGAAACATTCAAAACTCATGAACTTTTCTCATTGATTTCAGTTGATACAAGCTGAAAGTACACTTTCGTTTATATATAAAGAGAAAGATATTGCTAAAGAGTAAACCCAGCTTAGTGATAAAGAGTAAAGTGTCTCTTTACAAAACGACATCGTTAGCTCATTTGTGAAGCTGCAGTTTTACAAAACTGCCCTCCTTACAGACTGGCTAACAAAAGGCAACAACAAATTTTTACCGATATCAATTAGAAACTTAACCATTTTTCGGAAGAAAAGAAAATTAGTGATTGGGCGCCAGAACTGATACTGCTTAACCACAAGTGTTGGATGCAAGCACAGATTAAAGGGCGATATTATCTATAACATTGTAACACAAAGCAGCAAATACATGAGAATAGTAAACAATAGCTCCTCAAAATTACAACCCAAAAAAAAATCAAAACCAATCACTTTCATGCTAAATACAAAACTAAAACTTAGGATCTATCATTCAATGAAAGCAACAAAATTCTCAAATATGAACCAAACCTAGTTAAAATCCTCTCAAAACAAAGAAACCCATTTACCCAGAAACAAAATCACCATGCATTACACCATCAAACCCCCAAAACCCTTAAAAACCACACCAAAAAAATAAAAAATTCACGCCTTTCTATTGAAAAGAAAATAAAAAACACATAAAGAAAGGAATGAGAGAGAGATAAATACATCGAGAGAGCAACTGATGGTGGTGACGATAGTTGTTGTGAGATAGCTGCAGGTGATGATTGGCATCTATTTGTACCATTCCTCTGCAGCTTGGGCCATTATTCTTCTACAAATTTCTCAACAATTTGGTTTATGAAAGAATTTCGAAAGCCTTCAAAATAAGACGAATTTCAATCTTTGGGAAAAAAGGATTTTTGATTCAGAAAAATTAGCAATGGTGACCAACGACAAGGTACAGGATATAGCTATTAAAGTATAAGTCTTCATCGAAATTTGAAGAAGACTGAAATATCTTTTAGGACAGAAGACAGACAAAGAGTGATTGTTGGCTATTGTAAGTAGGACTGTAAACGAGCTGAGTCGAGCCGAGCTGAGCTTTTGGCTTATCGATCTCGGCTCGTTTACAACAGTGTCAAGCTCGAGCTTGGCGAGCCTCAGAATTGAAACTCGAACTCGAGCTCGGTCGAGTTTGAGTTGAGCTCAAGCTGGCTAGAACTTGAGCTCGTGAGCCCGATATCGAGCTCGAGCTCAAGCTCGTTAAGGCTTGCGGCGTGATCAAACCACCATTTCTCTAGGTTTGATAGAGCCAATTTCCCCTTTTTTACAGCAATCTTCCTGCGTACAACATTTCATATTTACATCCAATGTTGAATTAACCATGACAGTTTCGAACTTTACAAAATGCTTATTACTTTACAAAATCAAAAAACAGTTCTGAATATATACAAATAACATTCCAAGGTATGAAAATACAGTCCATCAATCAAAATCACTATCCACCAGTAGTCTGCAGTAGGCTTGTCTTCGACGAAAACCACAATTTCCCCCTGCCTATAAAAAATGTTCAATTTAGTAAGTATTTTTTAAGGTAACTATGACAAGAGAAAAATATGTATAATCATGAAACAAAAGCAAAAGGAATAAAAGTTTTACCTATGCATGCCTCATACCACAACCAAACCATGCATTGAATCCCAGGAACTTACGGGATAGGAAGGTTGATCTCCAACGGTTGCCGTTCTTCCTGAAAATGACAAAGGAGGAGTAATTGAAGTTTAGTTAGTATAAATATAAAGTAATAATTAAATTTAATAAAAACAATATTCAATATAAGTATATGACCTACTTTACATCCTTTCTTCACCCCATTCAATGTCCTGCTCTAATCACAGCCACATAAGAGCATCTCCACCATGTTGGGAGTCAACGACGATCGGTACGTGTCAATAACCCTACTACCGACGCTGAAAGCAGACTCAGAAGCAACCATAGTAATAAGGATGGCTAATATGTCACAAGTCATGGTAGACAAGATAGGGAACTTTGTTGAACTAGCCTTCCACCAGGTCAAAGCATCAAACGCCGTAGGGTCCCCAACACATTCATGGCATCCCTCTCCCAGGTAACAGCCTAACTCTAATTTCGTTGGCTCAACCGTCTCAACCATATCCAGAAACTGACTAAAATCATCCAAATCATTTGCCCTCTCTACCACTGCCGCTGCCCCCGACCCCTCACCAACAACCTGAACTCCACCCCCTGTAGATGCAGAAGTGCGGGCAGCTGTGAATGCTTGACTGGCATAAACATACTCCCTATATACCTCATACAAGGCATCTCGAACAACATCCATAGTTGCCCGCACTTCAGGCTTAGGATACATCTTAGGGAACGCCCATTGAATTACCCTCATCTTCAGTCTAGGGTCTAAAATAGCAGCCACACCCATCAATAGATTACATTCTCCCCAATATTTGTCAAACTTTTCTTTCATTTTCCAAATCATGGTCTGTATAAACTCATCTCCATCCTGACTCTTACTATCCAACATAATTTTTATTGTACAAACTTGTTTTAGAAACAAGTTTGATGTCGGACACTCCTCGATATCAGATTCGACGCACCACTAAACACCTTCAAAATTGAACAAATTTTCTCAACTTTGTCCCAATCCTCCTCCTTGGGACAATAATGATAACTCAAATCCCTCTTTTTCAAACAAGTGAAAACACGCCTAAATTTCATTGTCGTTGTCAACATGTCATATGTTGAATTCCATTGCGTTTTTGCAATCAAGAACAAGCTTGCGAAATGGCGATTGGCGCTGTTGAACAATCTCTGCAAACACCTTTAGTCCACTCTCCGATGAATTGATATACGCCACGGTATCACGGATGTCCTCAATAATGTGTCTAATCTGATAAAGACCATCTTGAACAACCAGGTTCAAGATGTGTGCACAACACCTCACATGAAACATCTTGCCCCTACATATGAGCTTCCCCATAGCTTGGAAATTATCTTTCAACACTTTTACTGCAACATCATTGCTTGAAGCATTATCCACCGATATCGTGTGGACTTTAGCTTCAATTACCCAATCCATCAAACACTTGAAAATTGCATCAACAATGGCAACACCAGAACGGGGATGTTAGAAATGAAAAACGTTCAACACCCGTCTATTAAACTTCCAATTATCATCAATCCAATGCCCAATCAAGACCATGTATTTCATCCTCTGGTTGCCTGAATGCCATATATGTGTGGTCAGACTTATCTTCCTAACACCTTTCAATAGAGTCAGCAACTTCTGCCTCTCATTTTCAAACACTCTCATACAATCATTCTTACAAGTATTACAGGATATCGGAGTCCATTCAGGAATCCTGTACTTCATCATGGTATTCAACCCCTCTTCCTCCACAATAGAAAATGGATGCTCATGCATCAGCACCCAATGTGCAATAAGCTCCCTCATCTTTAGCATATTGAATTGGCCCCGTAGAGCAGGCAAGATAATAGAGCCACCCTGAGAACTGGAAGGGGGGAAATTTATTTGTTGTTGCCTCAAGCGAGTTGTTCTCTTCACACACCTTTTCAAATATCTATTGAATTGTGTTGCGCTTCCACTGGCAGTCATTTTCAACTTTGTTTTACAATGAACGCACTCTCCCTTCCTTGTACCACCAGGGAGAACCACCTCCCTAAATTCTGACCACACAGCTGATGTCTTCGCTCTCTTCTTCCTCTCTAGTGGACTGTCATTGTCCTCAACATTTTTGGGGCTACTCACACTTTGCTCGGTACCACCTGTGCTTCCATAAATGTTACGCTGATCGATTGCTCTTACCGTAACACAATCGTTGACGTCATCCAATGTAGGGGTGCTTGAGAAATTATCTCCCGATGCCATACCTATAATTGAAAAATGAATTAACCACTATCGTTAGACAATATCATAAAGTTAAAATAATATATAATTGATAATTCTGGTTCATTTTTTACATGCTTAATAAAATAAATTAATCATTTCCATTTCCATTTCCAGTAACAAGTGAAGCAGTTCCAAGCTAAACAAGCAGTTCCAAGACAGACAAATATGACAATACAAGTCATTAAATTGCTATGAAGAAGTAAAAGTTAACCATTTAATTAGATAAAACCCACCTCCCTAAGAAGGATGGGAGGCATTACAATTAAAATGTTTCATGGTCCTTAACAGTGATCCAATTCTTTTGTGGTCATCTTATGAATTGGTAGATAAGTGAAGATGAAATCACATTCTTAACTGGAGGTGATGATCATAATGACGATAATGTAGTGTTAGAGAAGTTGTTTTGTCCTAATCTCAAGCTTTTGGTTGTAATTGAAGGATCAAAAGGTTGTAGATATTATACCAAGGTAAGAAGGAACTATCTTTTTTGTTTAATATATGTTCCATCTAAAACCTATTCTGCAACTCCTTATTCTCTTATCATATCTAGACTGTTTTTCACCAGCATTGAGTATTGACTGTAGATTTGCATTTAGTTTGGCCAGACCAAAATTTTTTGCTAGAATTTAGAGGTTGTGTTCCTGGTGTTAAAGCTAAATCTGTGGACACAACTGGTGCAGGTGATGCATTTGTCAGTAGGATACTTAGCTGCCTAGCTTCTGATCTAAGCCTATTCAAGGTACTTGTAATTTGTTTCTTGAATTAAGAGAAATCAATAAGTATTTAATATTTTTTGCTATTGTTCAAACAAAGTATTGCCTATAATATGTCAGTTTGGTTTCCACTAGAGTTGTATAGACATAATATCATTTTTATGTTTCATTATTCACTGTGAGTGCCATGCTCAGATGTGTATCTAGTTCATTCAACAAACTATTTCATTGATGTTGCCAATTACCTAAGCTTGAAAAAAAGATCATACTGTTTTTCTGTTGCCTTTGGAAGATGTAGAAAACTATTGTGATTTCTCTCTTGTCCCTTGTGTCCTCACCAATGGCCCTATAAGGTGAGGACACAAGGGACAAGAGAGAAATCCTACATTAAGAGCATCAATCTAAAACAATTAGTTTTATCTTATGAATAGTTCTTTCTTGGATCATTAATTGAAGTCGGTTCAAAAATTGTTCTTAATTACCGCGACTTTATGATCAAATCAAAGGATTAATATGAGAAGAAATGTGTGCTCTAAGTTGCTGATGGTAACAGGAGAGTTGAGGCTCATTTGCGAAAATTTCAAACAAATAGGCAGAGAGACATTTAAGAAAGCAAATAGTTGTCAGATCCTACCAACAATTTTCAACCAAGCCTACCTCATCTCTGCTAACATTCTAGCATCTACAACTGCTCCCATTTCAAACAAATAGGCAGAGAGACATTTAAGAAAGAAAATGTACCAACTCACCCAAAAAACATAAAAAAAAAAAAAAGCGCCAGCAAGCTACACTCCACACACAGCAAACTAACCTGGCAGTTTCAGAGATTTTCAGAGTGTCTGCGATTTTGGGCCTCTTTTTCCGATTGCTGAGATCGGAGATGGTGACGGAGATTACTGATTTCACGATGAGGAATCGTGTCTGGTTCGTGATTTGGGGGTTCTTTGTTTGCAATTTGGGATTTAGGGCAAGTGGGAATTGAAATTGATTTGGTGTATTGACTGTATTCGTGTTATACGAATTTGTGCTTTGGGGGGGAAACTATCATTTTTTAAAATTTTTTCACTGGAAAATATCAGTTTAATACCTCATGGTTTAAAAAATCACCAAAGCACCCTGTGTAAGTGTACAATGTCTACGCGAGCTGGACTCGGCTCGTGAACCCACGAGCCGAGCTTCACTGTGTTCAAACTCGACTCGGTTAACAAACCGAGTTCGAGCCGAGTCGACTCGATAATAACCAAGTCGAGCCGAGCGGCTCGCGACTGACAGTCCTAATTGTAAGAGCGTTTGGCGTTAGAATTTTACCGTGAAAAGATTGAGAACAGACGAGGTTTGACGGACGACAGTCAAACTAACAAGGACAACTAGAAAAGAACAGATTTCAGGGAAACAATGGAAAGTGGGGAGAAATTTGCATCGCCTTAGGGTAAAAATAGTTTGTGGATTTTGTATAACAGATGAGTGACGACGGAGTGGAGAAGTTAGAGTATATGCTTTTTTTTTTCTTTTTTTTTTTTTTCTTTTTTTTTTTTTAAAATAAATTTTAAGGGTTCAAACAATTATGGGCAAAATTGTTTAATTTTTTTTTTTTTTAAATAAAATGGGGTTTGGGGTTTTGTGTTTCTTTAATTTTAAGGATTTAGGGACTTTTTAATTTAAATAGTTTACTTTTTATTTTTTTAATAAAATCGAAAATTCGGTTTTCTTTATTTCTATGGACCAAAACTGAACCGATTTTCTGGATCATCAGAAAACCAATTCGGTTCTCGATTCAGTTTGATTTCTACATTTTTCTGAACACCCCTATATTTGGGTGTTGAGGATATGCCTCGCCTAGAACTCACCGAAGTTAACAATCTCTATCGGAATAGGCACAGAGTAATCACTAGAGTCAGTGAGCAAGTCGTCATCTACTGAATGAGAGTGGTAGAAACAAGAAATTTTTCTCTAGTGCCGGAAGTAGGTCGACTATGAGGGTTTGCACAAATGAGTGAAATAGCGGGTAAGTAAAAGTTTTAGGGAAAAAAATGGTGGGAATAGTTAATGAAAAATGAGCGGCAAAAAATGGGTGGGAAAAGTTTAAGGCAATTTTTTTTTCTTACTGTCAAGGATTGAGACTATAACAGTCAAGAAAAAAGTTTGCAAAATTTATTTTTATCCAAATCCTTGACAGTTAAAAACTATCAAGAATCATCCCATTATTATAACCATGTCCACAAATAAAGGTTTTCTTAAGGCAATATAGAAAACTTCAACACATGATAAAGTAAATTAATTGCGTATAAGACTTAAAATGACCTGTTAACCGACATGGTAAAACTAAGTCATTAAGTACAAAATATCCAATTAATCTCTTTACCGTCATAAGAGCATCGATCCCACCAAGCGATGATCAACCCACAGGGTAGAAACACCACTCGTATGGATCTTGGTAAAGAGTTGTAATTCACCATAAATAGTTACCATAATAAGGAAAACAATTTTATGAAACCCCAAAAATTATCATGATTGGTCCCATGACAGGTGAGTATACAACCATTCTAAATTATTGGTTTTATTCAAAATTAATTTTCACACATTTATTTCTAAATTGAGTTTAATAAAAATTATTAGTGTTATGTAACAAAATATAACACTAACCATTTATAAAATTATTCATAAAATTTTACAAATCAAAAGTCAAGAATTTGTGTGAAAATATTTACTGGTAACTTTCAACAATAATGGTGAATTACGAGTTTACAAGAAGGTTTTAGGTCAAAATATAAATACTAAAAATTTGGGCCAAACCATAAATGTTGGAAAATTGTTGGTCAAAAGAGGAATATTGAAAATTGTTGGGCTAAATAAGAAATATTGTAAGAATATAGGCTATAAAAATAAAAAACATATAGTAATTGTTAGTCCAAAATGTAAGTAATAAAAGATATTAGGCCTAAACAGAGTTATTTACGATTGAGTCCTCAAAAAAATCGTAAGAAGATTTTATGGGAGTAAGAAGAATTTTACTAATAAGTGATCTGTACCCTTATATCATAGAAGGGAGAAAGAACTTCAAAGAAGGGAGATAACAGGTGGCCATTGGTGATGAGGGTTTTTTTTGGTCAGGGTTAGGTATCACGTGTCTCATTGGGAAAATCATAGTTCTCTATTTTAATGGATATTTATTACATGCAGATTTATTAGTTTAATATCCGCTCAGCTGGGAGTTGTCTTTTTCCTAGGTTACACATTTAATTTATAATCTCTCAAGTGTGTATGATTTCTGTTGAAGCTTGATTTTGGATACCATCAACTTGCATGTGTAAAGTATTAAAAGAGTCTTAGAAATTACATGTGATGGATCCATAAGATTTGAATATGGTACTGAGATTATATATGTTACAGAAACATAAATAAAAAATTGGTAAGAGAGGGTTTTAAAGTGGTTCGGATGCTTATTAAAGCGAATCTTCCATTCACTGTTATTTTGCTATTCTCTGGTTATTTCTATGATATTACCCGTAAGACATACAAAGATAGAGAAATACTTTGTTTATAGAGAGAAATAATAAAATTTAAATCTATGTCTAGCTCTCATCTGCCCAGCCCCCTCTTTCGTGAAGAGAAATACCAATTTATACACCTCTGAGGTCAATGTAATGAGTGTTTTGCAAGTTTCCTTGACACATGGAAAGCTCTCATCCGTTCTTCTCTTAAAATGAGATAGGGTTAATATAAGATATCTTTGAGACGGTATGAGCGTGACAGGAAATACACTTTGTCTTTAAGCATCTATTGAGCTGACATCAGCGTGACTTTTTAGGCATAACAATTTCGAAATATATCTTTTTCTTGTTGTTGTCATGAGCTGGAACCTGGAGTCTGATTCATCTGTAATTACATGATCCTGATCTTAATTATCATATAAGAAGATACTTCAACTCGTCTTATTACACCTCGACATATTTTAATTGTTATATAAAACTTTAAGCATTTGTTTACTATATATTCCAAGTTGAATCTAGGAAACTACTTGCAGAGGACTTGATTAGTTACCTGTCCTCTTGGGATCTTATACCAGTTCCTAGGGTTTGCACTAAAATAAATAAATAAATGATTCCTGGTGAATCTCTTCTTATTTGTTATTGATCATGTGATTTAAATAATGCACTGATTAGTATTTGAAATAGGCTTTCTCCAACTTGTTTTGCCAGCCAAACCTTTTGATGGATTTAATTTATTTATAAAACTATTATCACTACAGGAAAACTATTCTGTACC